TCAGCGGTTACCATACCTTTTCTTTTATTGAATGAAGTCTCAGATTTACGCTTTGTTGGTACTGAAAGAGTGAAGATGATGTACACAAATATATAAATATAGCTTTATCCAATTAATGAAATAATTACTAAGTATTTAAGAAAAACGCTAAGTACTTACTTTTTTATCATGAGTATTTGCATTTGACAAATAAAGACAAAAAATATTTTATTATGCAAACAAATATAAAATACTTATCTGAAACTGTGAGCTATTTATGTTGTAGATGCAGTCAACATTTTTCCTGCAAGGTGAACGAATGGACGCCAAAATAGGCAGTGTGACGATGCCAATAGCTGTGTTGAATGTGTTCAATACCATCATCATCCTCATCCTTATTCCTATCATGGACAGACTCATTTATCCATTTTTGGCTAGACACAACCGGAGTCCTACACATCTACAAAGAATAGGTCAGTTCAGTTTTTGCTGAAAATAGGATTCTAGATGCTCTTCCGTATCGAATTAAGTGAGAGATATAAACTGCGTATATGCAGGTGACTCAGGTATATTGCTTCAGAACTAAGGAAACATTGATGTTACGTAACCATAAACGTCTTTACCTAGTAAGATACTCAGATATGAAATAGATGTGTCAGACGCTGTATTATCATTTAAGAACACTGGGATAGATCGACATTTAGAATTAAAATAACTATTGTTAATTGACAATGCTTCGTCGATAAATCTAAATGTCGAGTTGAAGGCTTCTTTTCACGAAAAAGATTTAGATCAAGTTCTTATTCATATAAATACAAGGATAGGTCAGCTAATAACAGAGTGAAATTGGTACCCAAGGGAATTCCACAGCATAACAACCTTAATTGTTTTTATTCAAATCAACCAAGATTTTTTCTTTGTTTTATGTTGTAGCCTTTGGTTTCATCTTATCGGCGCTTTCAGTTCTAGTGGCAGGGATATTGGAAATTTATCGCAAGAAAGATATTGAAAATAATGGATATATTACACAGACACTGGCATCGGACAAATTTAATGCTTCTCAGATTTCTATTTTTGCCCAAGTCCCAGAATTCGCTCTTGTTGGAGCTAGTGAAGTTTTCGCCAGTGTTTCTGGTAAGTCAGACAAATGTACAAATCTGGATCAATTGAAATCTCAAATACTACAAGTTGTAATTATATCAAATAATGAAGACTAGTAGGAATGACAGTGGATGGCATGAGTTCTTTATAGATAGGTGATGAATACCACTACATTTTAGAGTGTACAGCTTTTTCAGAGATGAGAAAAAAATTTTTACACAAAAATTATTGCACCAGACCAAATGTTGTCAAGTTTTATGAACTCATGGCTAATTCAAATATACAATCTTTAAAAAAAACTATGTACATTTATTTCAAAAATATTTGAGACTGTCTGTCCTTCTTAGCTGTCCTCCTGGTGTTTTCTTTTTGCATATACTTTATTATTACATTACATCCTCTCTACATGCAGTTGTAAAACATTTATATATATATATATATATATATATATATATATATATGTGTGTGTGTGTGTGTGTGTGTGTGTGTGTGTATATATTTATACTAAATGTACCTCTGACCACTTTATAGACATTGTATATACTTTATGTTCCTCATGTACCATGTTGTATGGTTTGAGAGAATAAACTGATTCTGATTCTGATTCTTTAAAAAAAACATTATGTTCTCACTGGCAATGAAATGATGAAACGATGTAATAGATAATTTGATGATGGGGCCAGCAATTATTTTAAAAAAAACATCAAACTTAACGTCATTTTTATGTTATACACCTATAGTTATATGGAATACATACATGTATTTGGTTTGTAACTCAACATTATCGACTGTCTACCAAAATATTACCGGTTGATCAATTTCGATTGTACATGCTCTATACTGTCATTTACAAGCCTAATAAGTGATGTTTTTCTCAAGGATCATAGTGAAAAACATAATTTCTAGAGAGACCCGTGACATTATCACACCTCTGACTTTCAGAGGTCCGTCATTACGTATTCTCTGTTTCTAATTTGTATTGTTTGAATAAAGGATGACTGCACTTAACGCCGGTTTTTGGGTCTTTTTCGATCTCTGTTGTCACATTTATTTTTGTTTTTATTTTTGCCTTAAGTCATTTGTTATAGAGTTTGGTCTATTTTCAAATGAAAGGCAATGTCATAAAGGTTATAAACTGCGTTGCAATAAAATAATTCGTTGATTTCCTACCCCACCTCTCTGCAAATATCGGGAAATTAGACTTATCTGCCCTTGATTGGAGATAAGATTTATAAATATGCATAAGAGGCGGAGCTAATATTGTGAAGAGTGGTCTAAAATTAGAATTATACATGTAGTTACTGTATTTATATTTGGTGCATTCTCTCTCTCTCTTTCTCTCTCTCTCTCTCGGCATATGTTTGTCACTATTATTTTTTAAGTTTTCAAATAAAGTATATAACTAATAACAAATAACATCGACCGGTAGAAGTAGCCATTGATAATCAACAGCAATGGCTGATGTCAACAATTCACGTGTTCGAATATAAGTGCCGACTAGCTCAGTCGGTAATGCACAGAATTAACAATATTGAGGTCTGGGATCGAGACCCGCTAACAACATTAAGACTAAGTCTTGTTTTATTTTTCCCTTTTAATAAAAAAAAAACGAAAAAAAGAAAACGTCAGAATTACTTAAGTTTTTCTTAATTTCTTCTCCTCATAAATTAGCGTGCTGTGGATGGTATGATTTCATTTTTATTTACTGGATCTTACTTTGGATGTTCATGATAAGCGATGGTTCAAAACATAATAAATAAATCTCTTTTTTTGTAGACTACGAACATGTAGAGACATATAATACACTCGAAAATATATAAATATAGTAAAATGAAACGCTTTTGAGATAAAAATAAGAATAATCTTATAGATATCTAAGAGAAAAAAGAATAGCTCGTGGCTCGATGGGAATGGATTGAAACAGATATGGACAATCACTATCGCCCAGCAGAATGCGTGTTTCCTTACACGTCACGTGATGGAATTTTAGTATTCACAGAGTTACAGGGTATATGAAATCACGTGATTAATTATAATATTCAACAGGTAACAACGTGGTTAAAATGGCCTGTTTTCTATAGAGAAAGGGAACACACGAAGAAAAAGTTTTTTCTCTTTTTAACCATGAGCGCATGTTTGTCTATTGATCTCCTTTTAATATGAGGTAATATATTAATATACAACTACCATAAAAAGGAGAACAATAGACAAACATGCGCTGACTATGTATTAATCCTGTAAAAAGGTGGGCGTACTCATTATCCTATGGAGATTCCAGAATATGTGATGACCCCTCCCTATAAAAACGACTTCGAACTTCGTTAATACGAACTTTTAATTAAAGTAATTACACAAAGTTGCACTTAAGACATTGGCCATTTCTACCATTAAAAGAAATATGCCCATTTTTAAAATTAATTATGTCGAAATTTCTAAGTTTCCTTAAGTGCAGTCATCCTTTTCGTGCTTGATTCATGATACCTCATGCTGTTGATTCATGCTGTTTATATATTTAGATTATTTTGGGTACATTGTATTGTTGACTTGCTTGAATCATGTTACCTGTATATTTCATTTATAGATTAATTTTTAGCGCCTTTCTATTGACCGTAATACATGTATATGATTTATATCATGAGAAAATGATTTAAATTTTGAAATTGTTTACTTAATGTAATCTGCTAATGTTTACTTAATTTAATCTGCTAAAAGAATTTTAACAAATGTTTCTAAACATTCTCGAAAAGATTTTAAAAAAACTCTCTGTTTTATCCTTTTTTTATTTTAGGTCTGGAATTTGCATATTCTCAAGCACCCTCATTTATGCAGGGTCTGGTTATGGGTTTATTTCTAATGATGTCTGGCTTAGGGAACTACGTATCTGAGGCCATTCTGGAGATAGTTAAGGAGGCATCAGGAACTAGGCCACCAGGTGGGTCCTGATATACAGTGTTATAGTGCCAGGAATCACACGATCTCAGAAGGGTTAATTGAAAACACAATTTTAGGAAATCATTGGCAAGGGAAGAATTTTGTATTAAAAAACTATTTGAAGATTTTCATATAGAGAGTAATATAATTGAAGACTTTCATATAGAGAGTAATATTTGGATACCTTTGCATTTGAACGTGTCTTTTTTTTATTTATACAAACATTAATGGTGCAAATCTAAAAAGAAATGTCCCTGCACCTAGAAAATTATTTCGTCTTCTTTATTAAAATGATCATCCTGGTTTTTATGCCTGTTGTTAGCTTAAATGAATTTTTATTTTATGATGATTATCTTTCTTGAACCTGATAATTTTTATGTCTCTTTTGAGCCATTTGTGTGTGTTCTTCGCAAAATTACTTAAACTCTACATAATGAATGACGGCATGAATTTTGTTCTTTTTAAGATGCCTGGTTTCCTGAGGAAATGAACGATGGAAAAACGGAGTATTTGTTTTTCATGTTGGCCGGACTTATGGCAGCCAATACACTAGTCTTCATCATTGTGGCGTACTTTTATAAATACAGGGAACCGGAAGAACAGCAAATCTTAGAAATAGACAAAACCGTGGATGTGGACAAACCTCCGGCGTACGATTCTGTGGGTCATGGGTTTGACAATCGGGGTTATTATAAGGGTGAGCCAGAATGCACAAAGTTATAAGCTTTCAAAGCTTCTTACAAGGAATCTGCTTACAGTCAAAATGAACACGTGTTGTCAAGAGGTGATTGCTTAAGTTTCCAATTACATGTATTAAACGAATTCTACTTTTCAAAACAGAAAGAGCTTACATTTTTATTGTCCCAGACAGTGATCTAATGATATATAATCAAATGCGCTTTCTTAAAAAAAGGACAGCCAATAATATACTTTAGTGCCATGGTTTGCAAGTCTATAAGATACATGTAATTTTATTTTCCAATTTTGGGCCCAGAAGGCATAAGGGTTTCTTTACAATGACAAGATGGAAAGTTCTGAAAGGTTAGTAAACATAAACAAACATAAACACACACACATGTATATATATCTGATATAATATATGTATACAAGTAACTGTACATGTAGATGCAGCAGTTGGGGTTATCAAATCGCTAATTATACCGGTTGTAAATTGTCAGAAGTAAAAAATAAAAATGTGATGCATTGGAAATCCAAATAAAAATCAATGTCTCTGAAATCCATGTATATACATATATTATCTTTCCTCAGGTTAGCAAAGTCATAAATTCATCATGTCATAATGCAATATACATAAATGTTAATCTGTATGTGCTGTTTATATATTCAGATTTTTTGGTACATTTTATTGTTTCGTTGTATACTTATCTGTGTAGTACGTACTATTATAAAAGTGTTTTATTAAATATTTTTATTGTTTACCTCCTTTGTTTTTATTTTTTGATCAACTTTTTACTATAAAGCATTTTCAGGTAAATTAAGAGGAACAAAAAGAGTTACGCAGGGGTGAGCCAAACCTGTCAAATTTGGAGCAATCTAATTCTTTTTATTCATCAGTTGTTCATCCTGAAACTTCAGGATCATGAAACAGACTACACACATATCTACAAAGTCCAGCAAATACTCTACCAAGCCCTTTACTCCTCACAAAAAAATGAACTGCTTCATAAAAAGGAGATATTTTAAACTTACTCTGCTCTAGTATATTCGAATTGTGTGAATCAAATGTGGATTCTAAAAATTCCAAATTACTTTGGTTAATTCAAATTCATAAAACCTTTTAAATCAATTTTAATTCTTAAAACATTTTCAAAATCAGATGCATTACACATGAAAAAAATCAAATTTTGGACATTTGTAACTATTCCTCATAAAATCAAACAAGGCTAAAAATGTAATGTGGAAATTTTCATCTTTTGTGTTTGGGCATCCTCAAAATAACTTCAAGTCCACTCTAATTCTAGCTATAAGGATATACTCTGAAGTTAATATCAAGACATTTTCTCATTGACAACATTTTTGTATTTGGAGACCAAGTGATTTAGTCCTTCAACAATCTGCATTAAAAAACAAGAGGCCCAAGGGCCTTATAGGTCACCTGAGCATTATGCAACAACTTTCCAGTTATTTAATTTGATTCATGTTTTAACTTAAGCCAGATGATATATGGCATTCACAATTTTGAAAGAGGCACCATTGATCATCATAACAGTACACTTAGCAGTTGCTTAGCTTGGTTACTGAATACCCATACGCAGAGTAGGGGAACAAAAATGCATTCCAACTAATCAGTAATATTCAGCAATAATCAGTAGTGCCCCTAACACTGTGACATAAACCCCTGACCCTAGGTCCACACATTGCACAAATTTTAAAAAGGCACTCTTAAAATTACCTACCAAAAAATAAATAAATGTTTTATAAATACAAAGGAGCAGATTTCAAACAATTAATTCATTTTCAGTATATAAGTAGAGCCCCCCCCCCCACCCCTGACCCAGGGTCCCTGAAATTCACAATTCTGCAAGATTAGGGCCCTTGCTCATCATGACAATATAGGTAGTTCATCTGCTTCATACCCAGAGACAGAGAAGAAAATTTTCAAAGATTTAATGTATTTTCACTATATAATCAATAGAGCCCCGCCCTTACATCAGAACCCTGACCCTGGGGCCATAAAATTCATAATTTTAGAAGAGGCATTCTTGCTCATCATAACTATGTACTTAGTTGGTTTATTTAATACCCAGGAGCAGAGAAGAAGATTTTCAAAGAATTCATGTATTTTCACAATATATAATCAATAGAGCACCCCCCCCCCCCCGACCACACACCAGAACCCTTGACCCTGGGTCCATAAAATTCACAATTTTGGTAAAAGCTAGCACTCTTGCTCAACATAACTATACACTTAGTTAGTTTATTTGATACCTAGGAGCAGAGAAGAAAATTTTCAAAGAATTCATGTATTTTTACTATATAATCTATAGAGCCCCGCCCTAACACCAGAACCCCTGACCCTGGGACCATAAAATTCACAATTTTTGTTGAGGCTCTCTTGCTCATCATAACTATGCACTTAGTTAGTTTATTTGATACCTAGGAGCAGAGAAAAAGTTTTACAAAGAATTCATGTATTTTCACTATATAATCAATAGCCCCCCCCCCCCCCCCCAACACCAGAACCCTTGACCCTGGGGCCATAAAATTCACAATTTTGGCTGAGACACTCTTGCTCATCATAACTATGTTCTTGGTTAGTTTATTCACAATTTTGGTAGAAGAACTCTTGCTCATCATAACTATGTACTTAGTTGGTTCATTTAATAACCAGGAGCAGAGAAGAGATTTTCAAAGAATTCATGTATTTTCACTATATAATCAATAGAGCCCCCCCCCCCCGACCACACATCAGAACCCTTGACCCTGGGGCAATAAAATTCACAATTTTGGTAAAAGCACTCTTGCTCAACATAACTATACACTTAGTTTGTTTATTTGATACCTAGGAGCAGAGAAGAAGATTTTCAAAGAATTCATGTATTTTCACTATTATATAAACAATAGAGCCCCACCCTAACACCAGAACCCCTGACCCTGGGACCATAAAATTCACAATTTTTGTTGAGGCACTCTTGCTCATCATAACTATGCACTAGGTTAGTTTATTTGATACTTAGGAGTAGAGAAGAAGATTTTCAAAGAATTCATGTATTTTCACTATATAATCAATAGAGCCCCCCCCCCCCCCGACCGCACACCAGAACCCTTGACCCTGGGGCCATAAAATTCACAATTTTGGTAAAAGCACTCTTGCTCAACATAAATATACACTTAGTTAGTTTATTTGATACCTAGGTGCAGAGAAGAAGATTTTCAAAGAATTCATGTATTTTCACTATTATATAAACAATAGAGCCCCACCCTAACACCAGAACCCCTGACCCTGGGTCCATAAATTTCACAATTTTGGTAGAGGCACTCTTGCTCATTATAACTATGTACTTAGTTGGTTTATTTAATACCCAGGAGCAGAGAAGAAGATTTTCAAAGAAATAATGCATTTTCTCTATATATATACTTATTTAGCCCCGCCCTAGCATTAGACCCCTGATCCCAGGGCCATGAATTTCACAATTTTTGTAGAGGACTCAATGCTGATTACAATCATGCAAACAGTTTGACTGCTTGATGTCCATGAGCAAAGAAGAAGATTTTTAAAGATTGCATTAATTTTAGTGGTTTTGGCCCCATCCCTCAGGCCCCAGGGGGGCAGGGATCATGAAATTCACAATTTTTGTTCCCCTTTAGCCATAGATGCTTTGTGCCAAATTTGGTTGAAATTGGTGCAGTGGTTGCAGAGAAGAAGCTGAAAATGTTCAAATGTTAACACACGATGGACGACGGACGACGCACGACGATGGACGAAAACGGATAGCAATAGGTCACCTGAGTTTACTCAGGTGACCTAAAAACACTTGCGTTGCTTTCAACTCCACATTCAAATAAATCGACCACGTTTTATCAATAAACAATTGTCAATTACAAGTGTTATCTTCTCTTTGCGTTTAATATTTTGGACAAATTAATTCTGCTTCATATGAATGCAAAAATAGGTCTGCTAATAACGGGGGGCAATGGGAGGGGGGGGCAATGGGAATGCGTGAGCATTCCAATGGATTGTTGGAAAACCTGCTTCCAAAAAACTCAGAGATATTGTCGATTAGAAACTCAAGCATCTTAAGATTTTTAATATCAACTTCAG